AGGAGGTGGAAGAGGAGCTGTCAGAGCTATAGGGGCGCTGGGAGCGCAGGCTGGAGTCCTCACTGCCCTCACTGGAGTCCTCGTCCTCTGTGAACGCCCCTCCAGGCTCCAGGCTCCGGCCTCCAGGTCTCCGGCGCCGGCGTCCGCTTGGTTTTCCCCGCCGCAAGGCCAGCTCCTTGGGCCTCACCACGGGCTCAGCCGGCGGTGGAGGGGAGCGGGGCAGGTCTCCGTCCGAGGGGGGCTCCGTGTCGCTGCCAGCGGGGGGTGCTGGGACCCGCCCAGGGGGGCTGTCCAGCTGGGTGGAGTGGGTCTGCTCGCTGCGGTAGCTGCTGCGGGTGCTGGGCGTCTCCTTGTCAGTGCCACTGAAGCAGCTGTCAGAGGAGCCGGCCTGTGGGGGAGGAGGGTGCTCGGGGCCCGGCCCCTCCAGGGGCCGGTAGCGGGGTCCTCCGGGCAGTGCCAGGCTCAGGAAACTTTGGCTCAGGCCACCAGGCAGCAGGGGGCTGGGGGGAGCCTCGATGGGGCTCTCGCCTGTCCAGCGGCTCCCTGGGGAGGGCTCCGAGGAGTCTGTGCTGGGCACTGAGGAAGGGGCTGGAGGGAGGGGCTGGAGAAGAGGGTCCGGAGGTGCAGGGGTAGGGGGTGAGTTGCCGGAGGGACCCCCAGGCAGGCCATCGGGGGGGGAGTCACCAACTGCAAGGGGAGAGAAACGGAAAGAGCAGTTATCCACCTCAGACGTCCAGGCTCCCAGCCCCCCTGCTCTCACCCTCCACTCCCAGAGCCGAGCTGGAACCCAGGCATCCAGCTCCCCTCCAAGACCTGGTTCCCAACTGGGGCCCTGATGCTGCTCTCCCATCTGCACCCCCAAAGAGAGAAGCCCCCCTCAGATCCCCCCAGTGCCCCCCAGCCCATACTGGGGTCATCTTGCTGGCGGCGCTTTAGCAGTGCGCGGTCGGCCGAGGTGACGATGACGTTGTTGCTCCCCTGGGCCCTCACCAGCTCCTTGATGTCTGCCGGACGGACAGACAAATGCCCGGGGTCAAGGGTGGTGGTGGGGGGACCCCAGCAGGCCCTGACATGGGGTAGCCCAGCCCACACTAAAGGCCCCTCAAGGAGCCTTATAGGTGGGGAGCAGGTACCCCATGTCTGCGGCCAGGCAGGGCAGCACTGATGGAGGCACCACCTTCCCCCCTGCCCTTGCCAGTGCCCCACTCACCTCGTCGGGCTCCAGCATCTTCCAGGTGGGGCAGCAGCTCCTGGGGGGAGACAGGCAGATACAGGGGGGTTCAATGCTAGCCCCTGAGCCCCCCTGTGCCCCAAGGCCAAATTATCTAGCACAAATAAACTCCTAAATGCATCGTGCGAGTACCAAGTCTCAGTCCTGCCCCTCCAATGGCCCACAGAGATCTGCACGGTGCAATTGCTTGCTAGGCTGCAGCCAGCTCTGGAGGGGCATTGAGGCTGGGAAAAGGGGGTTTGTCGCTGGGCTGCAGCCCGCTCTGGGGGGTGGGGTAAGCATAACAGACAAGGCAACCTCTGGGGTGGGGCCTTGAGCAGTGGAAACATGCAGCTGAACTGTGGCTGGCTTTGGGATGGGATGTGTCAGCAGCTGAGTAGAACAGAGGCAGACAGCTCTGGGGCACATCAGGGCTGGAGATCCAAGTCTGTGCTGCAGCTGGCTCTGGGGTAGGCTATGCTGGTAGGCTGAGTATAACAGATGCAGCCAGCTCCGGTGCAGAGCAGGGGCTGGGGACACAAAGCCAGGCACTGGGGTGCGGCTGGCTCTGGGAGGGCATCTGGGCTGGGGAGACAGGCCTGTGCTGCAGCTGGCTCTGTGGTGGGCTGTGCTGCCAGCCCAGTATAACAGATGCAGTTGGCTCTGGGGGACGCTGAGATAGAGACCCTGATGTTCTTTGCCACTGCTGTCTTCTGAGAGAGGACTCGCAGCGACGTGTGCTGTTCACTTCCAGACTGCAAAGCTAAGGCAACTCGCGCCTCTTCTCCCGTCTTCCTCTTACCCACCCTGGACTCACCATGACTTGGTTGAAGCCGAAGACGGAGTGCTGGGAGCTACAGCGCACGGGCGGTGTGGAGCTGGCCTTCCTGAACACCGTCATCTCAACACTCCCACCCGGGTCCCTGCAGGGAGAGGCAGCGTCACCCACTTGGCAGCACCTCTCCCCAGAGGCAGCCACACCCCAGGGAGGGACCCCATCCCCCCAGACTCCGATGGGTCCCACCTGGGGATCCCAGAAGACCCACCTGGGCATGTTGCCATCATCGCCCGCATCCCCCTCCTCGGCCTTGGCCCCGTCGGGCAGCACAGCGCCTCCTTTCTCCACGATCTCGCCCTGGTCGAACATGGTGTGCAGCCGGTAGTTGACAGTCTTGATGATGGTGAAGAAGACGCCGACCACAGCACAGTACATACCGGCCACCAGCCTGCTGGGGGGCAGCACCTGCGGAAAGACGGACTGCTGCCGTCAGGGAGTGGTGAGGAGATCTCAGCACTCCCACCCCAATAGTCTCCCAGTTTGACCCCCCATCCCCACTCTGCCAAAGCTGAAGAGAACCCAGGCATCCGGGATCTCACCCCACCACTGCTTTAAGCTCCCAGAGCCCACCCCCCTCCCAGAGAGCAAGGAAAACACAGGTATCCGGGCTCCCTGCACCCCCACTTCCCCCCCCCGACCTTCTTCTCTTCTCCCAGAGCCGGGAAGAACCCAGGTGTCTGGGTGCAGGCTCCCAGCCTCAGTTGCTTGGACAACCCAGGCGCCACTCCCCCGCCAGGAAAGAGAAAGAACCCAGGTGGTGTCCCAGCTCCCAACCCCCCAGACCCCACTTCCCCAGCTGGAGAGACCCCAGGCATCTTGGTTCCCAGCTTCTGCTCCCCACCGACCCCACTGCTGGAGCTGGACAGCACCCAGACATCCGAGCTCCCCGGCTCTCCTGCTCTTACCCCTTCAACCCCCCAACCCCCTCCAAAGTGTACAGAGAACCCAGGTGTCCAGGCTCCTGGCCCAACTCCTCCAACGACCCCCACTGGACCCCACGGCCCCAACCCAGAAAAAAACGTACCGTGGATCTGCACCAAGCCCCCGCTTTTTCCCTCCCAGATCCATGCCTCAGTCTCCCTCCACCAAGACCCCCCTCCCCACTCCCAGATCCATGCCTCAGGTGCCCTCCCCGTGCCTCAGTTTCCCTGCACCAAGCCCCTCTCTCCCAGACCCGCACCTCACTTTCCGCCCTCCTTTGTCAGCTGCTGGAGACCAGGAGAAGAGGGGCGCCACGGGGAGGGGGCGCCCGGGGCCTTACCATGTAGAGCAGGAAGGGGAGGACGAGCAAGAAGAGCCAGGCGTAGAGGTGGAAGCAGTTGGAGAAGGTGCTCTGGTGCGGGTCGAAGAACCAGCCGCCCGTCAGGGAGGCCCACACGCCCTGGCGCAGGATCTGCAGCACCTGGGTGCCCATGGCCGGGGCCCCCCGCCCCCTCGGGGATCTCCTCTGACCCGCCTGCCCCGGCCGG